GATATATATATATATATATATATATATACACACACGCATCTACTGTAGCTTGGTAGATGAGTCTTTCAGTTGCGTAAGTTAGCAACCACAGTACTCCCGCTTTTCATCTCAATAAAACTGGTTTGAGCAACAATCATTTGTGTATACAAAACTAGTGATACCAAAATCCAATACTGATATATATATATATACACACACGCATCTACTGTAGCTTGGTAGATGAGTCTTTCAGTTGCGTAAGTTAGCAACCACAGTACTCCCGCTTTTCATCTCAATAAAACTGGTTTGAGCAACAATCATTTGTGTATACAAAACTAGTGATACCAAAATCCAGTACTGATATATATATACACACACGCATCTACTGTAGCTTGGTAGACGAGTCCTTCAGTTGGTAAGTTGGCAACCATTGTAAATCTTTCACTTAAATAATTGTAGTGCAACAGTAACTACATTATGAATGGCTAGTGTAGGTATACGTTAAAGATTAAAAGTAACAACACACAACCAGAATTTTCATAAATTACATAATTCTAGTTGTTGAAACATACAAAAACTATTTATATATAATTTATTTCAAATCATTCTTCTCATGCAAAATTTTGTTCATCACGTTGAAATTTTTTTTTATCCTCAAAATTATACCAAAATAAAAGGAAACAAGTACAAATTATGTTCATGGAACAACTATGACCCCCACTAATATTAGAATGTACATTTAGTCCCCCCAATTTAATGATGTAGTACCTGTCTTCAAGATTAGGATGGATATTCCATGTATCAGTTACCTTTGACCAATGACCTAAAGTTAAACAGCCTAGAATTTTGTATAAGTTATGGATAATATATCTCAAGACTGGATAGATGTATCCAATCTTGAGATATATTATCCATAACATTGGGATGGATGGACAGGGGCTATTCAATAATGCCCGCCCTGTGATGCTTCGCATTAGGGGTATTATTACTTTACACTCAACTTGCACTTTATTGATGTACTTCATCTCATGTTATTTGAATTGAAAAGTACAATTCAAAAACTGAGTTGGTTCAAAATTGATTTCTCCATTATTTTAATCTTGCATTTTACACTTAAAAAGATTCAAAATGCATTCTAGTCACCCAGATTAGATAAGATTATTGTATATTATAAAACAATGTTAAAATTTCTTTAAAACAGGAAAGAAAAACCAAGTTTCCCAATATGCATTAAGGATATATAAACAATCCCTCATGATGTTTTGAGCCAAAGGAAAATTAATGACAGAAATTAAACTAACAGATGAATGTATTCTAAAAATTAAACAAGGTTTGAAAATCTTTAATCCAAGTAACAAATGCCTTCCTCTTGAAATAAATGTAAGATTTGTCATATATTCTCTAGTTTACCTAGTAAATATATGGCACCAATAAGATTGGTAAATATCCATAGTTGGTTCAAATGGGAAGTTATACTTTGATTTCTAAGAAATGTACATTATAGTAAAACAAAATAAAATACAAATTATGTGGAAGAAAGAAGTAATTGTGTACATGTCAATTACAAGGTTCAACATTTAATACTAACCATAAAAACTGGTTTGTTTTCTGGTTGTAAATTATTTTTATTAACAGATTTCTAATAATAAAAATGACCATATTTAATCCAGATAGTAGAAAATAAATCACAGACAAGGTAGTATAACAGATAAACTGAATTTTAATATACTATAATAACCAATTAAAATAACTTTTTTTTTTTAGCTTTTATTACACCTGCCTCCTATTCTGAGTACTAATTCAGAATAAGGTATTTTAGGAGCTTGCTTACACAAGATTTTATGTGCAGTTTTACAGGTGTCATTTGAGCCAATTAAAGCTACACAGTTTTTACCAATACTGTATTTTTCAAGCTATTTTTTTAAGGGAAATTTTATATAAATTTAAATTCAAAATCCCCTTAAAACTAGTAAAGTGGTTTTGGGGTGATGTAAAGGCTTAATTAGAATTTTGAAAATCTTTATATACTGTTGAACCTTACAACAAAACAGAGAATTCTGGATGCACATCTTAGACTTGTAGCAGCAGTGTAAATGTTTTAAACTGTAGCTTCATGAGTGCAAGTGTGTTTGTTTTAAACAACAGATTCTTCTCTGTATTGTAGACTTCACTTCTTGCCAAACACTACCTTAAAAACTATCATCTTTTGAATCAGTTCTTTAGTTTTGTAGAAATTTAACAATTAAGATAAGTAGTAAAAATAACAGTTTAGCTTAAAAAAATATAAATAAACCCTTTCCTTCAAAATTGTTAAAGTATAGCATTACCTGGAACTAATCTCATAATTCTACTTCAGGTCACTAGAAAATACCTTACTTCCAATCAAGTATAGTGACACCAGGTGTATCTGAAGTGCAAGTACTAGAACAATAATTTTACATAACCACTACAGTTCTATTAGGAAATTTTAGGATGTCAGTTTCTATCCTGATTAACATTGATTCTGAAATATGTTGAAACAAAAAAAAAAGGTTAGATACTGAAATATATCAACAATTAATCCTTCAAATATATAGATATGATTAAATTGGACATAAGAATTTTGATGAGTGAACTGTGATTTTTAAGTGATTTACCTGTTACTGTAATGTTTCCTATGAACATTTTACTCTAGACAATCAACACTATCACACACAAAAAGGTATATGTGAATTTGGGTAAGTCTGATTTAAATTGAAACATGAAATTCTACAGATATTCCTACTTAAACATTAAACGGTGATGTTTATAAATGCCTTTTAGCAGATCAAAAGATGGGACTACTTTCTAAAGAGCAATTTCTTAAATTTTTTTTTAATTTCTGCAGAAGTACAATTTTTTCAGAGTTGGAGGAAATAGAAATTAGTCCAAAAGTAACTTAAATTATAAAAAAGTTTAAGCATAAAACAGGGCATAGTATATACACAAATATCACACTGATTTCTTGAATTGTACTCATGCACTACACATAAGGCATTCATCTTTGTTCTGCAGTGAGCACACCATTGCTTCTCGTTGTTGTTCCTTGAAATCACTTTCTTTTTTGGGAGTCTCGTACCCTGCATTCTTTTTCAGGGCAATCTTATCTACTGTGAACTGGATAGCATTGGCAGCAGGCTTGCTACGGAGATAGTACATGCCAGTCTTTAAGCCCTGGATAAAAATATAATGTTAGTTTGACTCTTGTCAGTGTAAAGATGCATAAGTTCTGCCCACAATTTTACACTTCCAATATGTCAAACTCTTTGGATGTAAAACATCTCATCATTTAATAATTGCTGCTAAAACTGTAAACAACATTAAAACCTAACTAAAACATAGTACTGCCCAGTGGTGAAAGTAGAGCTTCTAACTGTTTAAAAACCAATCTTATGTCCTAGGACTTGTATCTATGTGGGGGTGGGGGGATATGGACCTTATATTTTAAACCACATTTATTTAACAAATTGCTTGCAAGTCCATTACAAGATCCTTAGTAACCTATGAATCACACACACACAGAAAGAAAATAAAACGATTAATTTCACTTTTGTAATCTCATTTTCTATGTATTTTTATGTAACAAATGGAGTGATTTAATTTGATTTTTCTTTTACCACTTCTTTACAGTTTTGTAACAAGTAAAAATAATTACTCAGTATGACGAAACATATTTACCTCGTTAATAGTGAACATAAATTCATTCATGTTCTTAGGAAAAATACATAGGTTCAAAAAATCAGTTTAACACACAAATACAATACCCTATAACCCAAGCAATAAAACAAAAGAATTGCATGAAAAGGTGAAAGAGATGACTATCAAAAGAAGATCTAAAAATGGAAACAACTCTGTATGTAATAGAAATGGAAAGATGCTGTTTGATTCAGAAGAAATTACTAACAGATGGGTCGAGTGTGTGAATGAACTATATTACGATGAGAGAATAGATCCACCTAATAGTGACAACCAGGAAAGAAGGGCTATCATGAAGCTAGAAGTAGAAAAGGTTATAGAGGATATGAAAAGTGGCAAAGCACGTGGAAATGATGACATCATTACAGAAATGTTGAAAGCCTTAGACGTTGCAGGACTGAAGAAAATTACAGAGTTGTATAACCTTGTTTATGATTCTGGATACATTCCATCTGATATGAATGATTCAACATTTATCAGAATACCAAAGAAAGCAAATGTCACAAACTGTTCATATTACAGGACACTATGTCTGATGAGTCACATATTGAAGATCATACTACAGAGAACCAACGAACAAGTGAAGAAGAAATAAATGAAGCACAAAGTGGATTTATGACAGGAAAAGGAACAAGGGAAGGTATGTTCAATCTAAGAACAATAGCAGAAAGATATTTGACAGTGGGAAAGATGTGTGCTTCATTGATTATGAAAAAGCTTTCAGCAGGATCAACCATGAAAAGTTGAAAGAATGATTGAAAAGCCTAGATATAGACAGCAAAGATCTGCAGTTGATATGAAATCTGTATTGGAATCAATAAGCATTCATAAGAACTGAAGAGGGATTATTGCCAGAAATACAAATTAAAAGAAGAGTACGCCAGGAATGTATCCTTTTCCCTTGTCTATTTAATTTGTACACAAAAAACAACTTTCTTAGCATTGAGATTAATAAAGGTATTAAGGTTGGTGGTATGGTGATAAATAATTTAAGATATGCTGATGACAATGTACTGATGGCTGAAACAGAACAAGACTTATATTTTGAATGATGTAAATAACATAGGAAAGATGTATAGAATGAAAATGAATGCTAAGAAGACAAAGGGTATGCTGATGAGTAGACATGATAATATGTAGAAATTCAGATAAAATTAGAAGAAAAAGACATACAACAAGTAGAGAAATTCACATACTTGGGCCAGACCATAACAGGTGATGGACAATGTGAAGATGAAATAGTGAAGAGGATTGAGGTAGCAAGAGGTGCCTTTAATAGTATGAAAACAAGTCTGACATCATAGAGAATAAGAGTAAAAACAAGGAAAAGAATGACGAAGTGCTATATATGGTCAACACTGTTATATGGCTGTGAAACATGGACCTTGACACAAACACTGATTAATAAACTGGAAGTATTTAAGATGTGGGTGTACAGAAAGGTGATCCTGGATAGACAAGGTAACAAATGAAGAAGTTCTCAGTATGGTGAATGTGAAAAGATATGTTGTGCCAATCATCAAGAAGAGAAAAGTAGCATATGATGAGACGTGACAACAACCAGTGAGTCCTACTAGAGGGTCAAATAGAAGGGAAAAGATACAGGGGAAGACCAAGAACAGTGGATAACAAATATTAAAGAGTGGACTGAGATAGCAAAATATGAAGACCTGGTGAGAAAAGTACAGAACAGACAGAAGTGGAGGATTGTGACAGCCAACCTTCCTGAAGAAGACAGCACATGATGATGATGATGATAACCTGAACACTTTCAAAAGTGCTCGGGTTATAGGGTATCATATTTTTGTATTAAATATACAAATTCAGTAATTTAAGGGTTAACAAATCTGACTTTCTAATAACAATGTAATAGTTGGTAAGTCCTTAACAAGGATAGCTTTCTGGTATACAATACATAGTAGTTAGTAAGCATGAGAAGAATTGTGGTTAATTTTTATGATGTCATAGTTTATATCCATTAATTTTGGAAAACTTAAATTATTCAATTACTAACTTATACACATCCACTAACATTAATAATGACATTGATCTATGAAATTCAAGCTAAGAGTCATGTAGAAAAAAGAAGTTACCATTTTCCACCCATAGAAATGCATGCTGGTCAGTTTTCCATAATTGGGGTCAGCTATGTGAATATTCAGAGACTGACTCTGATCAATAAATGCTCCTCGGTCAGCTCCCATCTTGATGATAAGCCGTTGGGGAATTTCCCACACAGTTCGATAGAGGTCTTTTAAATCAGCTGGTATTCCTTCAATGTTCTGAACATAAATGTGTTTGTATATGAGATCATTTGTTATTATTTTGTTTCTCTATGGAGAAAGATATTCTACTAATATAAAATGGTTAACATTTTATGTAGCATATCCTTTCATATGTATATATGATCATACACATGAATTTAAAAATTCTATATACATTAATAGGCCAAAGTATCAGTTAGTCTTATGATGCCATACTTCCAAGGTTTCACGAAACTACAAGTATTTCAAATGTGACAAGAAAAGAAAAAAAAAAAATTCTAATTCTAGGATTAAGAAACCTTCATTATTTTACCTACATCTTCAGAAGTTTAAACTACAGTCAGATTATATGCATATTTCTTATATATTCTTATCACTAAAATGTAATTTTTTTTTTTATGTTTAGGAAGTAGTTACAGTACTTCAAACTCATGCCTAAGCAAGAACATTTCTGATAATAGTTAACACTGATACAACTGACAGACTATTTGGTTATACAAACAGCCTGAACATATAGCATTTGCATAGCAAAATATGTAAATGAGAAATTGTGTGTGTATTATTTTCCATTATGACTTATGGCTTTGATTTGTATTAATTTCATTACTGTTATATAGTGCTGATATATACACACACACACATGCATATATATATAAATCTTAAAACTGATAACATTCAACAGTGTTCTTTAAAACATTACACATGATATTCACTACAGGTAACCAGCCAGCTCAACAAAGTCATAAAATGAAAGATATTGTTCAACTGTTAAGGATATTAAAATACAACTTATTTATTGTGTTCACATTATACAAATTTCCATGGTATAAGAAGTTAATAAAGATTATTATAGATTATCCCACAAACATTTATAAAACACCAATATCTAGTGAAGTAGTATGATAAAGAAAAACAGAACTAGAGAACAACCTGAACAGATCCATTTTGTGATATTAACTGATTCTTCATGTCTTCATTCCACAATCCTCTCTCAGTTAGATCTTTAAGCAAGTGATGATTCACTACCTGAAATTGGACAATTGCAAAGCACATCAAGTAAAAATTCATGCTAAACGATTAGCTAAAAATCAGAAGAAAATCTAAATATCTTACAGCACTAACCATACAAGATTACTTACTTGAAATTCACCTGAGAGGACACGACGGGAGTATATATTGCTTGTGTAAGGTTCAATAGACTCATTGTTTCCAAGAATCTGGGCAGTTGAAGCAGTTGGCATAGGTGCAATGAGTAAGCTGTTTCTCAAGCCATGTCTAAAAAATAAAATATTTATTAATATCCATAAATACTGATAACAAAACATTAAAATTGTATTATCTTATAACATGAACATTTTATAATGCATACAACTTTTTTCCTGGGACTGACCTCGTAACCATTTTGTGCTTGTTATAGTTTTCATGCTATAAGTTTTAAATCAGTAAGCGAATGTTAACAAAATTTGGCAGATTATCAGT